TTATAGGAACATAAGTTCAAAAAATTCATACTTATATTATATAAAATAGATAAAAAATTAAATTTTTAGTCTCAAATTTTCCTTAAGTACTTTAAACTTTTTAGATTAAAACAAAATAACATAAACATAAAAATAATTGACAAGCCTCTGTATCACATTGAATATTATAGGAACACAAGTTCAAAAAATGTATAATAGTAGTATATAAAATAGATAGAAATATTAATTTATATTTAAACTTTCCATAACTTAGAGATAAAATCATTTTTGATGATAATCTTTAAAACAATTACGAGGTCCAGTGTAGCATAACGCTAATTTGCATTTACTGCACCAAGTCCTGGAATAAGCCTTGATACAATGTTTACACCTCTGTTTATTATTGATATTCTCAGGCCAATGTTCATAGCAATCAAAACGTATATCATTAACAGGTCTTSTACTGGTTTTGTACTTTTTTTGTGGTGGTGTAGTAGAATTTGAAGAACTTGGCTTACCTCTTTTCTTCACTTTGTTTTTTCCTGACAAGATTAATGCATGTGCAATATCTGATTTAAAATTTACCAAGGGATCAAATTTTTTTATACCTAGTTGTTTACAATGACGACGGTATAAAATCCAACTATTAACTATAGCCATGTCAATTAAGTGAAAAATTATTCTTAAATAAAAACGTTTACTTCTAATATCAATGYGATATATTTCTACTAACATGTCATGCAGRTCTACACCACCCATGAATGAGTTATACTCTTTTACTACAGCAGGTCTTTGAACAGGAATTCTCGTTTTAGATGTAGTGGACCAACGTTGAACTTCATCTGTAGGTTCAGGGCCAATATAGTTAGAAAATAGGTGAACAAATTTATTGTCGAACCATTTACAACCAACTATGCCACTATTAGTATCAATTTTACTGTCATATGTGCCTCTTCCTTCTTTTTTTAATTCTTTATCACTTTTGAATTGACATCCTGACATTCTATTTATTCTAACAGTTCCATTTGCYAATATTCCAAATTGTTTCAAATTGCACATCAATTGATATGATGTAAACCAGTTGTCAAAACAAAGTTTATAATTCTTGTTCCTTGGTATAATAYCACACAGTCTAATAATTATGTCACCACTTAATCCCAGAGTAGATTTTGATTTTATTGTTCCTTTTCCTACATAAAATTCAAAATCATGTACAAATCCACTTTTTGATGCTAATGCAAATACTTTTATACCCCATTTGTGAGGCTTTGMTTTGTTATACTGTTTCATAGTGCTCCGGCCTTTAAATGGTATAATAATTTCATCTACACATAAATGTTCCTCTAAGTCAATCAACTTAAAATTATTTTTTATTGAATCTATAAATGGTCTGACTTTAAAAAGTTTATCATGTAATGGATTATTTGAAGGCAAACAGAGAGTATTATCCACAAAATGAATATTAGATCTAAGTTTATCAAACCTATTTCGACTCATATTATCTGCTACAATAGGTTGTCTTAAATATTGATTCCAAAACATCTTATAGGATGGCAGTTTTATAATTGACATAATTAAGTGAATACCTATGAATTGTTCAATTTCTGTTTCATTAGTATTCATAGAAAATCCAGATTTTTGGGTTGAGTAAAGATTAGTTTGATATGATATATTTTTTATCATATCAGAATCAATAAATTTTTTGAAATATTCAAGAGGAGAAAATGGTAATTTAGCTGGTGGTGGTATAAACTGAATATCACAATAATAATTTTGATTTTCCCATGTACCACTTATCCAATTAGGTACCATTGGAGTATAATTGTCTATATCATCATCAAGTACCTCTTCATGAAGATCATCAGCAACATTTTCATCATCTTGATTAACCTGATCATTTGCATTGAGTGTTGAATTTTCCCCATTGAATGGAATATCACCAAATATTTGTTCCTAAATCAATTATATTTTATAAATAATAGGTAATAATAATACAGATGATTATTAAATTTACTAAATTATTTAATTCAAGATCATTTTGATGCAAAAAGTGGTCCATGTCTCTGAAAGCATCCAGGAAATCAATATTTTCTTCGTCATTATCTGACTCTTCAAATTCATCAATATCTGATAAATCTCCACACAATAAATTTGCAATTTGATCATCATTGAGAGCCATAATAAGACTGAATAACAATAATCATTATTATAAATAAGTTGTTAAATAAAAAAACAATATTCAATAATAAATGTAACCAAGATACACACAGTTTGTAACCATTACAATATAAATATATTATAATCTATACATTCCCAATGATGCCATATGGAATCATCAGATATGTGACATTGTAACGACTAAACTAAATTAAATATTATAAAATGAAATAGATATTTACATGGATGAATGTATCTTGTTTCATAAATAATTTACCAAATAGCAATAATTATAAATTTACTTACCTAAATTAAATAAAATTGAACACGAATGATGCCAATAGTGGAGAGTCGTAATTTACGTAAACATAATCAATGATAACTCGATAAATAATGGATTTGGCGCGAAATTGCA